TTCTGGACAGATGTTCTGTCTGCAGTCTTCACCATACTGAACCAAACTGAGACAATTGAATGACACCTGTGGAAACCTGTGCAGGTGCTTTGAGTTTAGTAGATGATTAGTGTCACACTCAGTTTAAAACATTCATGTCCTGCAACATGTGGCCTGATGTCTTCACAGTATTATAATTTTTTAATCCTGTTTTCGTGGGTTTCATGAGCTGGAAGCTCAAATTATGTAAAAATAAACAATAAATAGTTAAAATCATTTAAATTGTGGGCCCTGAATCTATCATATATTAAAGATTAACTTTTTGAATGGACTTATGGAAGTTAAACAACTTTTCCATGATATTCTAATTGTTTGGAAAGGCTCAGTGTTTTAATTTAAACACTTCGACTTATTTTTTCGACGCCGTCCATCGCCCGCCCTCCTGGGCTTCCGTAGCTCCACGTGAACGCGTCAGATTCTCATGTTTTTAACAAACTTTTAGTGTCGATCAAATCAAAGCAGCAGAAAGTTTCAGGTTATAGACCGTGTCACTTTGAACTCTGTAACATTTCTTCTTCTTCTGCGTTTCAGTCAACGAGATCATCAGGAACGACCTGTCCAGCATCTCCGTCCACAGCCATGCCTAGAACCCCCCCGACCCGACCTGAACAGAACCGACGCAGGAAGTGAGAGGATCGTTTGAACCGTTCGACCTGTGTCAGACTACAGCGAGCTGTAAATAATGTGCTCCACCTCCAGCTTCATCACCTGAGTGACCTTTGACCTCTGACCTCACAGCAGCGGGGCCTTCAGCTGCTGAACATCTGACTGTTCAAGAAAAGTGCCTTTTGGACCAGAACCAGGTTTTATCTGAAGTGTTTGAATGTTTTTAATGAACTTTAATGAATTCAGCTGAACAAGAACAAAGACTTTAACCTGTTTATCTTTGTTTATTTCACGTAGCTGTTTGTTTGTTTGTGTAAACAAGTAACGAGTGCTTTAATCTCCACGTCCAGCTCTGCGTTGGTGATTTAAAATGTATAAATAGTTGTCGTCCAATCTGATTTAAACATCATAAATATGTCATTTCTGAACATTTTGTTATAAATAAAGTCCAGTTCCAAAAACAAACTCGTGTTTTAGTTGAACCCAAAGAAACGGAAACTGTTCTATAATAAATTATATTTTGGACCGATTTAAGGTTTTTATTTAACTGGAGCTTCAAAGCGATGGAACCAAAGAGGAGAAACCTGAAAATAAAAACTTTTAGTTTTATAAAATATCAATAAAACTGCTAACCTCACCTGCTGCTGCTGCTAAATCTGGACCAGAACCACAGAAACCCCTCCCTTTGATTGGACAACAGCCTGTCAATCCCAGCGTAGCCCCGCCCCCAACACAAATCTAAAACTTCTTTAACAATAAGAATCTGAATATTTAATACAAGTCCAGCGGTTCTGACAGGTTCTGGTGTCGCCGCCTGCTGGACGCTGCCTTCACCTGTTTCACTTTAAATCTTGGATTTAGACAAAAAATAGACAAAATGTTGCAAAAACCTCCAATAAATAAATAAATAGACAAATAACAACCTAAAGCCAGTCCAACTCTTAAACTGAGAGGATGTTTTTTATCTTTTTTACATTTTTTTTTTTTTAGAGGAAGGATAAAGTTAAAAAAAAAATTTTTATAAATAAAAACATGACGGACTGATTTCAGGGATGATTTTATTCAAACATAACTCGATTTATTTCAAAGTCACATTTAATTTCTCTGACTCAGCATCTTTTTATTCCTGACTCAGCATTTTCTCCTTCAGATGACTCGGCATCTTTGTTTTAACTCATGATGTGACTGTTAATAATCTTGTTATTGGTGATAATGTTTTTTCAGATCACATGCCAGTCCGGTTTGAGTTCACCCTCCCCCATCTAACTCCTAAGCCGTACATTCCTGCACGTCGCACCCGGACCATTAACCACTTCACTGCCGCACGTTTCACAGATGTTTATAACTCTGAAATGATAATTCAGCCCCCAGTGTTTCTCACCACCACAGAGGAGCTGACATCCCAGTTCAACTCTGTCTGCTTAAAGACTCTGGATCATGTTGCACCTGTTAAAACCAAAAAATCAAAACTCAGAGCAGAACCTTGGCTGAGTGACGTCACCAAGGCCGTTAGGCAGCAGTGCAGGAGGGCGGAGCGAAAGTGGAGGAAAGACAGGCTGCAGGTCTCTTTCCAGATACTTAAAGAGAGTTGGTGCCGTTATCAGAAAACAGTAAAAGCTGCTAAATCCAAATACTTCTCTGATATAATTACCTCAAACTCTCACAACCCACGTGTCCTCTTCTCCACCCTAAACTCTGTTCTCCACCTCACTGAACCATCACCTCTGGAAGCCTCGACTGAGCTGTGCAACAACTTCTTACATTTCTTTTTAGAAAAAATTGCGACCACCAGGGCTCTCATTTCCCCTCCAACTCATGACCCATCCATCCCACCTCAATCTGTAGCTCCTTTTGACCATTTTGAACCCATCACTCTATCTTCTCTAGAGCAGGTCATGTGCAGCTTGAAACCTTCTGGCTCCCCCTTTGATGTGGTCCCCCCTCGACTACTAAAGGAGGTGTTTCCAACTCTAGGTCCATCCATTCTTGATAAACAGTAGTTTATCCACTGGCGTGGTGCCAAAAACCTTTAAACATGCTGCTGTCCATCCTCTCCTGAAAAAAACAAACCTTGACCCCTCAGTCGTTTCCAACTTCCGGCCTGTCTCCAAACTCCCATTTGTTTCTAAAGTACTGGAGAAAATAGTCGAGTCCCAGTTGAAGTGCTTCCTGGAGGATCACGCCATCTTAGAGCTTTTCCAATCTGGCTTTAAACCTCTCCACAGCACTGAAACTGCCCTGCTGAAGGTCTTTAACGACATCTTCAGATCCACAGATACCGGTGATTCTGTGCTGCTTGTCCTGTTGGACCTCACAGCCGCCTTTGACACCATCGACCATGAGATCCTCATTGCTAGGTTGGAGCAGTGGGTGGGCGTCACAGGATCAGCCCTCAATTGGTTCAGATCTTACCTCGCTGACAGATCCTTTTGTGTCTCCATCAAGGATTTTAGTTCCGCAGAGGCAGAGCTTAAATGGGGGGGTTCCGCAGGGGTCCATCCTGGGTACCCTCCTATTCTCTTTATACCTGCTGCCACTTGGTGCTATTTTCCGGAAACACAACATGCCCTTCCACTTCTATGCCGATGACTGTCAAATTTACTTCCCCCTAAGACACAATGGTACATGCTCTATTCAACCGCTGCTCGACTGCCTGGCTGACATCAGGGACTGGATGGCTTTAAATTTCTTAAGTTTCACTGAAAAGAAGTCTGAAGTCATGTTGTTCCCTCCCAACGACACGATCACAAACCACTGCATCGACCTTTCCGCTCTAACCCTGTCAGAAAAACAAAGAGTCACTAATCTGGGAGTGATAATGGACCCTTCCCTGAAGCTTAACAATCATGTAAACATGATTGTTAAATCATGTTTCTTCCAACTGAGGCGGCTGTCTAAACTGAAGCCCATATTGTCCAAAAAGAACCTGGAGACAGTAATACATGCATTCATTACATCTAGGCTTGATTACTGCAATTCACTCCTGTTTGGTATCAGTCAGACCTCCATTGGACGACTACAACTGGTCCAGAATGCAGCAGCCCCATTTTTAACCAGTACAGGCAAAAGAGAGCACATTACACCAGTTTTGG